GCGTGAGTTTAAGCCACCGGGTCCGGGACGCAAACCGTGGTTGACTACGTGGGAGTCCAGCCACATAGCCATTACGCTAACTGCTGGTCCCACCTGGCGTGAGTTTTAAGCCACCAGGTCCGGGATGTGGTTGACTACATGGGAGTCCAGCAACATAGCCATTACGCTAACTGCTGGTCCCATGACTTAGGATCAATTTTGAAGGGAAAACCCTATAGCGTGTTCTGCCCCCCCCCCACCCTCCAATCAGTGGGACTGAAGTGAATTTGCTTGCTTTGTGACTGGCTGTATGCTATGTGAGCCACAGATGTTCTTAGGGTATTATCAAGCCTCAGTGAATCATCCCGGCTGCACATTAGACTCACTTCAGGAGCATCTAAAAATCTAGATGCCCAGGCCACACCCCAAACCAATTAAATCAGAATCTCCTGTGGTGAAGTCCAGCATCAGTAGTCTTTAATGTTCCCCAGGCAACCCCAGTAAGCATGGTCTGGTCTTGTGACTCTCTTCCCAAAGTACAACAGGTACAGGGGCATGAAGGCCAAGGGATAAATCACATAGCCACTGGCATTTTGGAGCAGAAAGGTCTCCCCTTACGTCCACTAAGTTCTAAAGTAAGTAAGTAACTTGCTCAAAGTCAGAGTTAATTGAAAGCAGAGTCAAAGTCAGGAGCCAGTATTATACAAGCCTACCTTGACAAAATACTAATAATAAAGTCATTAAACCTCCATAAATTAACCAGTTTCCTAATCAAGAACATTCATTTTTCTCTCCTGGGTGTCCTGGTTAGAGAGCAATTATCTGCCATTCCGTTCCTGTCCCTGTGGCCTAGGATGTCCAAATGAATGAAAAGCCAGTTATTCAGTTCTTATGGGTATTGATCTGAAGACAATGACACTAAATGGTATTTATTTATATTTTTTGAGAGGTTTTTGCTATAGGGAGCATACACTCACCAGAAAGAGAGAGACAGAGAGACAGAAAGTGAGAAATCACCCCCTATGGGGGATGACCACTCCAAAATCCCTTCTCCTCCATTCTCCTGTTAGGATCTTGGGCATGCACACACACGCGCCCGGTGTGAGTTTAAGCCACTGGGTCCGGGACTTGAACTGCGGTTGACTACATGGGAGTCCAGCGACATAGCCATTACACCAACTGCTGGTCCACTAAATGGCATTTTAAATTTAGGTTTGTATTGGCAAGGCATTTATATATACTAAATCTGCAATTGAGATGAAGTGTTGAAAATAGGTTTATATAGTTAATTGACAAAAATTCTTGAAACAGGTGCTTGAATTTCAAGGGATCAATCAAGTTCTCTTTCTAACCTTAAATCATTCTTTGAGTCTTAATTTGCCTTATTAAAGAAAACATCCTTTTTCTCTTTCTTGAGACTGTGGAAGAAGATGCTTTTGTTGCCATAATTAAGCATAA